GAGTAGGCAGAGTAAGAGAGACGCCATGTAGCTTCTGAAGGAGACAGACACCTGAAATTTTTCCAGTAAGTCACAGCCTCGTGGTGATACACAGATTAATAAAAATGGGTTAATTCAAGATGTAAGAGCTAGCTAGAAATACACCTGAATCATTGACCAAACAGTGTTATAATTAATGTTGTTTTTGTGTGACTATTCAGGTCTGGGCAGCCAGGAAACAAATGAGCTGTCTCCGTTTACAGCTTGGCCCATAGGGAGTAGCACAATTGGGAGGTGTGGACTTCTGGCATAGGTGTGGTCTTGTTGGAGGCAGTGTGTCACTGTGGGGTGGGCTTTGAGGTCTCATATATACTCAAGCTTCACCCAGTACATAGTCTCTTCTACTGCCTGCAGATCAAGATGTAAAAACTCTCAGCTCCTTCCCCAGTACCATATTTGCCTGCTGGTGCCATGTCCCACCCTGATGATAATGGACTAAACCCCTGAAACTGTAAGCCAGTCCCAATTAACTGTTTTCTTTTATAAGAATGCCGTGGTCATGGTGTATCTTCATAGCAATAGAAACCTATCTAAGACACCCTATCTAAGAAACAAAACCAGAAGAAAGACAAGCCAAGGTCAAGCAGGCCTAAAGAGACTGACATCCCTTTAGATTAGATGCTTCTAATCTGCGGATGGAAATGGAGTCTTTCTTTCCCTCCTAGTGCCTGATTCATAGCAGATAGAGCAGAGAACCTGGAAATGAACTGTGCTGAGTCAGTCCAGAGTGCTTTACATAATGTTGCTATGGTTGAACAAGCATGCCTCTCCAAAATTCATATGTCGGACATTAAGAGGTGGACCTTCAAGGGGTGAGTCCAGCAGGGCTATGCCCTCATGAATGGGACTAAGCCTCTTTTGCATCTGGGATTACAAGCATGTGCCATGGTTCTCATCTGAGAAATAAATTTCTAATTCTTAAAATCTACTCTTTTGTTAGAGCATCACAGACTAGGGCATGTTTATAAAAGTGGTTTGTTTTTATTGGAGAATGACAAAACCTCTATATATGCTGCAAATATAAGATGGATTTTTTTTCCCATATGAAAAGTACAAATAAAGCCAGTTGTAATAGACCAGCCTCAAATGATAGAGACAGATGATCAGGAGGTCAAGACCAGCCTCTTTTACATGGTGAGTATGAGATGAGGCTGAGCTCAAAAGGAGAAAGGGAAGGAAGGAAAGAAGGAAGGAAGGAAGGAAGGAAGGAAGGAAGGAAGGAAGGAAGGAAGGGAGGATACCTGAAGATGAAGTCTACATGTTTTATCAATCTATAGGATTTGTCCATCAAAGGACAAAAACAGATGACTTTGCTAATGAAGATACTTATCATTTATTCTATATCAGATACCCAGCATAGTTCTGATCTCAGCATATCTTAAAAGGAAATATAATTGTGCATAATGTGCAATTTAAAAATCCTCCCCATCAGTTTACACTCATTGTGCCAGGAGCTGAAAATATAAAAGCAAAGACAGCACAGCAGTTGTTGTCCTTGAGGAGTTCATTGTCAACTCTACCATCTTGCTGAGAAGGAACAGCCCACTGGATAGGTACCAGTCATACGGTGGTTCTAGCTTACCAGAATGATGGAAACCAGGTAATTTCTTTCTTTCTTTCTTTCTTTCTTTCTTTCTTTCTTTCTTTCTTTCTTTCTTTCTTTCTTTCTTTCTTTCTTTCTTTCGTTCTTTCTTTCTTCCTCTCTCTCTCTCCTCTCTCTCTCTCTCTCTCTCTCTCTCTCTCTCTCTCTCTCTCTCTCTCTCTCTCTCTCTTTCTTCTTTTTGAGACAGGGTTTCTCTGTGGCTTTGGAGCCTGTCCTGGAACTAGCTCTTGTAGACCAGGCTGGCCTCGAACTCACAGAGATCTGCCTGCCTCTGCCTCCCGAGTGCTGGGATTAAAGACACACACCCCCACCACCTGGCGCTGATGATTTCTTACAAAGACTAAGATGTTATAAACACTACAGTGGTCATTATGAAAGAAAAATGTTATTAGTGCTAAGAGAGCATCCGTTAGACTCATCAAGTCAGAACTTTTTTCAACCCCTGAACCCCATTGGTGTCTAGAACAGCAGTTCCCTGTGGGAGTCCAGTTTTGTGTGTCTTCACACATGTGTGCCACACGCACACAAACACACAGATACACACACATCTGGAGTCTGGCAATGTGTAGAGACATCCTTAGTTGCTACAACTGTTGAGGAGAGTGGTCACCGTCATCTGTTAAGAAAGGCAGCTAAGCATCCCCCATTGCAGAGGACAGACCTCACGACAGAGGAAACTTGCAGAAATGCCAGTACTGCAGACTGAAAAACTCTGGCCTTGAGTAACCAAATCCAGAATCACCCCGCTAGCATCCCAGGCCTGGACCAGCGTGCTGTTTATCTCCCTCGGCCTTAGTCTCTGAGTCCTCCAGCTCCCTGGGAACTGTACGTTCCAGCGCTATCAAACGATGACAAGGTTTAAAAGGGTGATTAGATACCCCGGGCTCTGAAGTCCTCAGGTCTGGACTCCTGCAGAGCTGGGCCCATGACAGAGTTCTTGGCCAATCTCGTCTCTCTCAGAACAATCCCACCTAGCTCTTTGGCCTTCAGTACCACTTATCTCCCTCAAATGTATATTTGCAGCCAGGACTCTCTGAGTTCCAGTTTGGAAATTTTAATTTTTTTGAGACAAGGTTTCCATGCTGTTCTAGAATTCACACGTAGTCAAAGATGACCTTGAACCTGGCGATGGTGGCGCACGCCTTTAATCCCAGCACTCGGGAGTCAGAGGCAGGCGGATCTCTGTGAGTTCGAGACCAGCCTGGTCTACAGAGCTAGTGCCAGGACAGGCTCCAAAGCCACAGAGAAACCCTGTCTCGAAAAACAAAAAAAAAAAAAAAAACAACAAAAAAAAAGATGACCTTGAACTTCTTGTTCTCCAGCCTTCACTACCCATGTTCTGGGTTACATGCCTAAACCACCATATCCAGCTTATATGGCAGGGGGCGTCATACAAGGGCAATGCATGCTAGAAGTCATTCTACCCACTGAACCACATCTCCAGTCTCTATTACTTGTTTTTTTTTTTTTTAATAGGTTTTTTTGCTATGAGCTGGTCTTGAACACGCAGCAACTATTCTTCTCCTGCCTCCTGGAGGCTGAAATTACAGGCCTGTTTCACTACATCTGAGAGCTTGTAATCTTTTATTTGACATTCCCAATTTAGTATATGGTAGTTAATATTCTCTTTGTAGGGTAGGGTTCATGTAGCCCAGGGTGGTTCAAACTCCCTATTCTCCTTCTCCAGTCTCCTGAGTGATGGAACTGTGGTGTGTTCCTTCATGCCTGACCTGTGATAGTTTTATTTGATTTTATTTCTATGCATGTGTGTACATTTTGTTTGAAAGGGAATGCACGTGTGTGGAGGTCAGTGCACCATGTCCTGATCCCAGAGATATTTTTAAATATAACAAGATCTGGACATTGTGGCTCCTATAATCCCAGAGATTGGGAGGTAGAGGCAAAAGGATAAGGAGGTCAAAGGTCATTCCTAGCTATAGAGTTGGTTTAGAAAAACCATCTTGGGGAGCTGGAGAGATGGTTCAGCAGTTAAAACCAATTGCTGCTCTTCCAGAGGTCTTAGTTTCCCTTCACCCAAGAGGCAGCTAATGGCTATCTGTCTGTGTTTCCAGTTCCAGGGGATCAAACACCCTCTCCATCCTCTAGGGGCACCATGCACACAGCACACAGACATACATTCAGGCTAAATACCCACACCCATAAAATAAAACTGAAAACAACAATCTGGGCTGAGACTGTCTCAAGCAGCACTAATGACATCACTCTCTCCGAGGCTTCCCTATGTACCATGGTAACTCCTTGACTTACCAGCTCCCGCGAGGTCTTTGCTCAACCCCTTGTCAACCTCACCTCTGTGCTCGCTGTGCTCCAGCCACATTGGTCACATTTCTGATACTGAAGTGAGACAAATTTGTCCCTATCCTAAAAGCTTTTGGACTCGATGTTGCTGTTGTCTGGAATATCTGCTGCAGTTCAGCGTATGGGTTCTCATCCAGACCTCGACCGAGCGTCCCCTAGAGCAGGATTCCTTGACCTCTTCCCTCTCCAGTGTATCAGCCCTTTCCTCCTCTCTTGGGCCCTCTAAATCATTGCCTTGTCTCTCTCCATGCTGATGACCACCATCTGCTCTTTCCTAACCATTAGCTGTCCGCTACAGTAGAAGGGGAGCTCCACGGGCACAGGTTGATTCTCACGTTCTCCTGTGGCTTTGGTTCCCAGCTCTGCCTCACACAACAGAACTTCAGGGAATACATAAATAATAAATGAAGTTCATCAAAGGGGCTGGACCCAGAAGGTCTAAGTTCTAGTTCTCACTCTACCTCACCATGATATTGGCAAGCCACTCGTCTCCCAGGGCCTCTGTTTGTCTGTCTGTAGAATGAGCATAACAACACTGTTGTCACGCAGACGTGTGACAGTTGAATGATCCCATGCATGGTAAGGCCTGGTTTGGTGCTCAGCACGTGGCACAATGGCCAACAATTGATGGTGCCTTTCCCTCCCTTCAGAGTCATTTTTCTCACAATGGGGGAAGTGGCAGTGGCTGCACAGCAGTGGTTGTGTAGAAGCAAGATTAACTGACAAGTCTTTCCCTCTCTTTGCCCCTGTTCCTGCCCTGCCTGCCCTGGTCTATCCCTTTCTTCTTCTCTGGCTTAGCCACCATCACCTCCTTCAGGACACGGTCTTTGAGATCCTGTCCTGGATTAGTGCTTCCTGTGGGCACCGTGGGCCTTGCATGTTTTTATTCAAATAAACAGGCATCACACTGTTACCATAGTTTCTTCATTGGCCCAGTGGATGATAGGTGGGTGGGTGGATAGATGGGCAGATGGGTGAGTGGATAGATGGGCAGGTGGGTGAACGGGTGGATAAAATAGGTGGATGGAAGGAAGAAGGGGTGAGGTAAGGAATCATGTTACGAACACTTTGAATCCAACTATTCCAAAGTTGAGCAGGTCCACAGGACTCTCTAGAGACTAGCCTCAGCTGGTCCTGCCACTCCCCCATACTCTGGGGAACCCTGCCCTGTAGTTCCCTTGACATGTAGTCAGAGATCCTCCAGCACACCCAGTTCGTGGTCCCCAACCATTGGCTGCAGCCTTCATTGCCGGACCGAGGCCACGAATGGGAGGCAGCCAGGTGCTGGAGCAGGTGATGTCAGCCTGAGCCCCAGGGTCAAGGTAAGAGATACACAACACACTTGGTTGGGTTAAACAGCTCTCTGACATCTCTGCAGGACTGTGAAGATGAAGAGTCTGTCGCTGCTGCCTCTGCTGCTGCTGCTGACCACCTGCACCTTGAGGGCTCAGGGGAAGCGCCGCCAAGTATACTTCCGGGAGGAGTTTGAAGATGGGGGTAAGCTGTCCTGGACCAGAGCAGCCCTGTTCCTTCTCACTCATCAGCTCCAGAGGAAGTCAGGCTAACTTTCCCCTTGGGAAACCATTCAGAACTAGAAGAGCCACAGTTCAAATCCAGTTCAGACCCTGCTGTGGCCCTGGGTCTGTGTTTGGATTCCTTTTCTTGTATAAGAGGCCAAAATAGATCTTGCAAGGTTATTCTGAGAGTTAAAGAAGGTAAGACGTGCTTGGTTTTGCACTTAGTAGGTATGCTCAACACTGTTTCTGAAAAACAGAAGCAAGAGAACCCAGGGTAAAAGTGCCACCGCAGGTGAGGATAGCAAGACTTTCCACGCTATATGAAAGACTAGCGCTCCAAGGATCTCATTGCCCCGAAATGTCTCGGGAATATCAGGGGACTGGGGCAGGGCTACTTGCTTATGACATAGGGTTCCTTTGTTACTTTGATACAGTCAGGCTGGCCTTCAGCTCCCTATGTAGCTGTACTTCTAATCTTCCACACCCTGCCTCCTTGGTGCAGAGATTTCAGGCCTTTGTCGCCATCCCAGTTTGTCCCCCATGCTGAAGAGCTAAGCCACAGCTTGGAGCGTGCCAGCAAGCACTATACCAACTGAGCTGCATCCCCAGTGCTAGTGTGTGTGTGTGTGTGTGTGTGTGTGTGTGTGCACTTACTCAGAGGTTCAGTGACACTCTTTCAGGCTCCGTGCGCCTGTGTGTGTTTGAGTGTGTGATTGGGGAGAGTATAGTGAGCAAAGCACTCGCCTAAGAATAAGGACTTTGGGGTTTCAGTTCACATTCTACCTTGAAAGCCTTTCTGCTTTCTGAGGCTCTATTCCCTCATCTGTGATAACAGCATATCGAGGGTAGCAACATGAGATAGTTCAGAGAAGAGGCTGAATAGCCCTGGTCAGGGGAGCAGACTGAGACTGGTGGATCTAGGGTGGCATGTTAGGGGAGCTGGCAAGTATACATGAGGCTAGAGAAGGGGAGGCGGAGAGAAGAGCTAGCTCAGGGCGCTGTGAAGCCTGGTCTTTCACAAGGAGAAATGGTCTGACCTGTGTCTTGGAAAAACACGGGGCGGGGGGGGCGGGGGGGGGCAGGGGACGCACATATGAAGAGGGATTGTGAGCTGGGAGGAGTGGCTCATGTCGTGAATCTCAGCACTGGGCTGCATAGCAAGTACCAGGTCAGATAGACTATCAAGACCTAGATAAAGACCAAGATCTAGATTATAAACATAAAAATTAAACGAAAAGGCAAGTGCGGTGGTTCTTAGAGCTATAATTCGAACCCAGCACTCAGGAGGCTAAAGTCAGAGGATACTCATGGGTTGGAGGCCAACCTGAGCTAGATGGAATTTTAGACCAGTCTGGGCTGCAAGTGAGACACTGCCTCACAATCCCAAAAATGAAAAAAAGAAAAAAACCAGATTGTGAGGCTGCCCAAATGTGAGTCTAGAGATGGACTGCCATCTAAGAGGCATTTTGGAATTTTGGTGGAAAGCAGAGATAGTCCCAGGGCGGGATGATCAGAATACAGGGGAGAAGACAGGAAAAGGGTTCAGTGGTTAGCAAGAAGCCCCTCAACCCCCGACTTGCTGTGGGGAACCTGTTCACCAAGAACAGGTTGGTGGCCCCCTTTCCTGACTGACCTTGCAGTGAGCCCAGTGTGGTCACAGCGTCTGACCACTTGGCCTGGCTGGGACTCAAACCCTCATCCCTCCTGCCAGAAACAAAGAGAACAAGCCAAGCATGGGCCTGCAGGCACATCCCCGGGGTCTGAGCTCCCCAGCCCAATGCGGAAGGAGGGACACGCCCACGGGTTTTATGGATGAATGTTTCTGAAATGTTTCTCAAGATCAGGAGAGGACTGGGTTCCGACCTCCAGCCCCAAAATGATTGGATGAGACCAAGATTGTGAGCGAAGTAAAGCGGCCCTTCCTCCGCACAGCGAAGGCGGCTGCCGGGCAGCTCCTTCTCCAAGACGCCTGCAGGCTCTGGGTCCCTTGACACTTTTGCTTCTCCTGTGTCAACCGCTCACACTCCCCAGCTGTGTGCCTCTGATTCCCTTCTGTGCTTCGAAGTCTGAGCTGCCTAGGGACGTGCCCAGGACAGGACTATAGAACGAAAGGACTGGGTTTTTGACACATGCAAAAAATAATAGTAATACCCTAAGAAAAAAGTGCCGGCACAATCTTCCCATCAGAGGACCAAAAACTAATTGAGGTCAAACACTTGTCTTAATAAGAGTCCATCCAAAATGTAATTACACCCAAGGGAGAGAGGTCAGAGAGGCATGCTGAGGGACTGGTTCTGCTGTAGAAGCAGGCTGGTTCATGGGGTCTCCCAATTCTGAAGCCTGCCCCCTGCTTATAGGGACCAATACTGTTCCAAGATCAGAACTGAGATTTAGGCACTGATTTGTTCTATTCCGATTCAGAAGAGACTGATGAAAAACCAGACGCTCAGAAGTTCATTCATACTTACTATGATGAAAACACAGCTGAGGTCCCTCCAGGGCTCCACTTCTCCATCTTCAGCAGACCATCTCCTCACTGGGTTGTTTAGATTTTTTTTTTTAAGTCTGAGAATTATCTGTGATTCCTTAATTTTCTTTTTTTCCCCCTCTAATCTATCAGCAAGTCTAACAGGTTCTATCTCCAAAACATATTTAGAATAAACAGTGAACTTTGCCTATAATTCCAACAGCACTTGGGAGGCAGAAGCAGAAGGATACGAAGTTCAAAGCCAGTCTCAGCTATAAAGCAAGTTTGAGGCCAGACTGAATTATGTGAGATCCTGTGTCAAAAAGCATCACCACCACTAAGAGCAAGAATAGGCTCAGAGCATGCTCTGATCAACCTCCAGCATCCATCCACAATCTCCTCTCTCTCTCTCTCTCTCTCTCTCTCTCTCTCTCTCTCTCTCTCTCTCTCTCTCTCTCTCTCTGGCAAAGTCTCTCTACATAGCCCCTGCTGTGTAAACCAAGCTGACCTTGAACTCACAGCTTTCTGCTGTTCCCTTGGGATATCCCAGGCCACAGATCATCACAGTCCTAGAAGTTGTGATGCCTCAGAAGGTACCCTTCTATGTATGGGTGGGGAAATTGAGCCCTGGTGAGGTAAGGCCATTTTCCCAAAGTTCCACAATGCACCAGTGGCAGAGATTCTTGTCAACCCTGGGTCTTGTTCCTTCATAAAGCATTTGGCGGTTGCTGTTGAGAACTGCCAAGTGTCTGGTGGCCAGTACACAATAATACCAATGACCTCTGGACCAACAGGAGCATGTGGAAACCCAGGACTTTCCCAGGGACTGTCACATTACCATAGGCTGGAAGGTTGACAGAGCAAATGGGAGAATCAACAGCACCAACAGATACAAAGTGAAAACCAGTGGCCACAGCAGCCACCATTGTGACGATACAGAAGCTGGAGGACAGAAGCTGGAATTCCAATTAATGTCTGAATGGTGCCGGACTTACAAGGTGTGTGTGTGTGTGTGTGTGTGTGTGTGTGTGTGTGTGTGTGTGTGAATGTTAATTCTGCTCGCTCTCAGACTTGTCTGTGAAAACTTGGCTGGAGAGACATTCTGACACAAAGGGCCTTTGTACCCAGCTGGCAGAGACACACTGGGGACAGCCCAGCGGGGCTGAGGAACACCCTGCTGCTCAGGCCTCCGACTGATAAGCAATTGAGACCATCTGTGAATCAGGGACACTGGGACATGCTGAGCTTGGGGAAAGAATTGCCCTGGACAGATGCCCAAACCAAAGGGACCTGGTCCAGCTGGCCTTTTCCAGAGCTCAAGTACAAACGGATGGCGAGGATCTCTCTGGAGGCTGAAGGGATGGGGAGGCGAGAGTGGGGCCTTGGATGTGTGCGACTTCACGTTCTGATTCTGCCATTTGCTTGGTGGGTGACCTTGTATAACTCATTAACCTCACTGATTTTTTTCTTTTATTTTAAACAAGTGTGTGTGTGTGTGTGTGTGTGTGTGTGTGTGATGGCTCAAACCCGAAGTTTTACATATGCTAAGTTCTCTGAAACAAAGCCCCGTCCCTGGCCCACTTGTCTGAGTTTGCAAGGACAGAGCTGGCCACCTTGACTTCCTCATGGCTGCAGTGAAAACGGAATCTTGGAGAGAAAGCCTGGAAACCACGTGCGCTGGACCATAACAAGCCCTGCTCCATTCGGATTCCTCCTCTGTGGTGCTCTGCTGCTGTGGCCCCCCTAGAATGTGCCTCATGCTTTTCAGAGTGCCGGCTCAGCACAGAGGCTGGTCACTCCACCTCAAGCAGTACCTTAGCATGTTTAGTATTCTTCATAAAATTATAATTTCCCTGCTGTTATATTGCACATCGTAGCTTTACATTATTCTGTTAAACTTTGTCATCTTTACCTTCAATCAGTACAGAAACTCCACGAAGGAAGGGATTTGATTATTTCTTTTGCATAGTACATATTTGTCTCATAAACAAATGAGTCGGTACAGGAAAGAAATGAGGAGATTTGTTTAAAAGAGAGTTGTCTTGGTTAGATATCTGTTGCTGCGCTAAAACACCACTGCCAAAAGCAACTAGGGGAGGAAAGGGTTTGTTCCATCTTCACTTAAATATCCCAGGCCATCACTGGAAGGAAGGCAGGGCAGGGACTCAAGGCAGGAAGTATTGCAGAAGTAGTGGAGGGGTGCTGCTAACTGACTTGCTACTCCTGGCTTGCTCAGTTTGCTTTCTCAAACACCCCAGGACCACCAGGCCAGGGGTGGCACCACCCACATGGGCTGGGCCCTCCCACATCAATTCGTAATTAAGAAAATGCCCCATTGGCTTGCCTGCAGGTCACACTTATGGAGACATTTTCTCAGTTGAGGTTCCTCTGCCCAGATAAACTAGCTTATGTCAAGATGACAAAACAAACAAATGAAACACAAAACCTAGGACAGTCTGCTCAGTTCATAAGGCACTTGTTGCATGAGGACCAGAGTTTGGGTCCCCAGAAACCATGTAAATCTGAATGCAGCAACATGTGTCTGTAAACCCCAGCACAAGAGGCAGGGATGGTTAGGAGGCAGGCACATCTCTGGAGCTCATTGGCCAGCCTGCCTAGCTTAATTCAAGAGTCCTATGTTCAGTGGGAGACCCTGTTTCAAAAGGTAGTGTGCACATACATGGCTACATACATCATACATACATAAGCACACACCAAAAAGAAAAAAAAGAGAGATGAAGCTGCTCCCGTCTCTCTTCTTGTTCAGTGTGATCTTTCTGGTCTGATTATTTTATTTAAAATGAAATAGAATAAAAGACGGAAACACCGCTACCCGCAGGGACTAACCCAAAGGGTATGCAAAGGAATGAAATCTGGCAGATGGATGTGTTCCACTTTGCAGAATTTGGAAAATATGTACACCACACCATTGACACTTATTCAGGCTTTCAGTGGGCAACTGCTTTAAGCTCAGAAAAGGCTGATTCAATAATCACACATTTATTAGAAGTTATGGCATAGTATGCACTGAAAATTTGGAGATATCACTTCATTTACCAGTTGTGATCCCAATCATCTGAGTAATTTGCCTCAAAGTTTTCTCTCTTTAAATTCCAATAAATGTTTGCATGTACTGAATCTCCAGCATGGAAAAAGAAATCATTAATCGAGGTTGAGGATATAGTTCAAGATCGGAGCACTTGCCTGGCATGTGTAATGACTTGGAATTAATCTCCAGCATACCACACACACACACACACACACACACACACACACACACCAGAATGAAACGCTTTTTAAAGTGATTCCCAGTGTTCACACTGTAGCTTTATAATACCATTTGCCACTTGCAGGCCGCTAACTAGCACTCTTTACAGAGATGGTTACTTCTAGGGCCAGGGAAGGGAACATACAAGACTTTTATACTTCCAAGAAAGTAAGAATATGGTGAAAAAAGAAAATAGCAGGAGCTTTCCAGAGAGCCAGAAGCCAAAGGAAAGCACATCGGAGGTTAAAAACCTTGGAGCGACAAAATAAATACTGTAGCCTGGAATTACAGCCCCAGGTAGAACATCCACGCCAGGAGTCCTGAGCAGTGCAGAGCTGACTGAGTGAGCTTGCCCAGTATCACACCATCACGTCAACAGTGACTACAGAACAATGACACTTGGCCTCTGATCTCCCTTCCCTGAACCTAGAACCCCTGTCTACTCTCAAGAGCAGTATCAGAGACCTTACCTGAAGGACATTCTACCAAGTGTCTGCGTGCGCCTCCAAGTGAAAGTCATCAAACAGGCAAAATCTGAGAGATGGTTAATACGTAGAGGAGCCAACTGAGGCACAGTGATTCAGTGTGGTGTGGCTCCTGACTGGCACCCTAGAACAGAAAAAACTGTCAGTGAAAAACTAAGGAAATCCCAATAAATACAGCTCTTAGCTCCTTGCGGTTCAACAGGAGCTCATTAGCTGTGGCAGATTAAACACAGGAATGTGGGCAGTGGGGACAGCGTGCAGGGCACACAGAACTCTCTGGAATGTCCTTGCAGTTCTGAAAGTCTAAAGATGCTCTAGAGTAGAAGTTGCATTTTAAGAAACAAAAAGTAGGGACCAAATGGCTCCGCAGGTAAAGAGCTTGCCACCAAGGCTGACCACCTGAGCTTGAGCCCCAGGAGCCACACGGTGGAAGGACAGAACCAGCTCCTGCAAGTTGCCCCCTGTCCTCCACATGTACACGATGGCATGCATGCATGTGCATGCACGCGCACACACACACACAGACACTCACATGCAGAGACAGAGAGAGAGAGAGAGAGAGAGAGAGAGAGAGAGAGAGAGAGAGAGAGACATTTTAAATGTAATTTAAAAACAAAAGTAGGGAGCTGGAGAAATGGCTCAGCGGTTAAGAGCACTGACTGCTCTTCCAGAGGACCTGGGTTCAATTCTCAGCACCCACATGGCAGCTCACAACTGTCTGCAACTCCTATTCCAAGGGATCTGGCACCCTCACACAGACATATATGCAGGTCAAACACCAATGCATATAAAACCCAACTTAGAAAGTAGAGGCAGAAGGATCAGATTCAAGGTCATCCTCAGCTACACAGTGACTTCAAGGCCAGGATCCCCTATCTAGCTGGCATTAAGTTCTTGGCATGGATGTGGAGGTCAGAGTACCCTGTCTCAGAAAGGGGGGATATTTAATAAATAACAACAAAAAACCCACTTCATTATTTCACCAAAAAGTTTTCTCTCCAAGGCTTAAAAAAATCAGTTAGGCCGGGCGGTGGTGGCGCACGCCTTTAATCCCAGCACTTGGGAGGCAGAGGCAGGCGGATCTCTGGGAGTTCGAGGCCAGCCTGGTCTACAAGAGCTAGTTCTGGGACCGGCACCAAAGCTACAGAGAAACTCTGTCTCGAACCCCCCCCCCAAAAAAGAACAGAAGAAATAAATTGTATTCCTTTCTTTCTTCTAGTCAAACTCCTAAGAATAAAACTACATTAATCTCAACAGAACATATAAATGAAAACTTTACAATTTTAATGCAAAAAAATTCTAGAATTGAGCAGGCAAATCATGTCCCCTGATAGAATGCTATGCAACCACAAAAAGCATTTTTTTTAAAGATTTTTTTAAATCTATGTGTTATAAGTGTATGTATATATATGTGTGCAAACCCTGTGGAGGCCAGTGTCCTGAAACTCGCTCTGTAGACCAGGCTGGCCATGAACTCACAGAGATCCACCTGTCTCTGCCTCCCAAGTGCTGGGATTAAATGTATGCACCACCCACGAGGCCTGCACATTTTCTTAGTAAACTTGACTATCTGCTCCCTAGGAAATGCTGGATGGGAAATGACTTCCAGGGCTGGGAATGCTTGGTTGATAAAGTGCCGGCTTGGGAGCAACACCTCCAACATAAATGGAGGACCTACTCAAGGCTCTCACTCAATGAGAATAGTAATTATTGTCTTATATTACATTCGTATTTATTGTGGGAGTTCTGCGTATGCATGGCAAGTGTGTAGTGGTCAGAGAGTAGCTTGCAGAAGTTAATTCTCTTGTTCATCCTATGGATCCCAAAATTGAACTCAGATCATCAGGATTGGTGGCTATTTCTTTATCCATCGAGCCATTTCACCAGCCTAAAAATTAGTTTTTTATTATTTTAATTTATTGTGGTCCTATGATGGAGGAAGGTCATTGGTTAAATAAACTGCCTTGGCCCTGATAGGTAAGAACATAGGTGGGTGGAGTAAACAGAACAGAATGCTGGGAGGAAGAGGAAGTGAGCTCAGAGACGCCATGCTCCCCTCTCCCGGGCAGATGTGATAGCTCTGCTCTCTGAGGCAGACACACGCAATGAAGCAAGCTGTCAGGTCAGACATGCTGAATCTTTCCTGGTAAGACCGGTGCTACACAGATTATTAGAGTTGGGTTGATCGAGATATGAGAATTAGCCAGTAAGGGCTAGAGCTAATGGGCCAAGCAGTGTTTAAATGAATACAGTTTGTGTGTTGTTATTTTGGGGCATAAGCTAGCGAGGCGGCCGGGGTGCTGGGGACGCTGCCCCGCTGCTCCTATTACTACAGTCCTAAGTCAATCTATTATTTGATAAACATTATTGTATACGTACTTTCTTTGAAGAGGTTTTGTTTTGTTTTGGTATTTTGGTTTACTGAGTTAGCACCTTGGCTAACACACTGTTCTTTTGTCTCTCCTGCATCCTCTCCCTCTCTGAGCTTTCATGTGTTCCTTTCTGTTTGGAACACCCACACCTCACCTTTCCGCCGGTTCAGTTCTTCAGTTATGCTTTCTCTGATCAGTTCTTCAGATGTGCTTTCTCTGGTGCTGAGCAGCCTACGATTTGTAGAATTCCGTTGCCCTGTGCTGTCTTCTGTAAATACTAGCCACTCGGTGCTTCACTTTTCTGTTTACTGTTCAGTTGATGGCTGGAATGTCTCTTCCACCAGGCTTCATGAACCCACAGAGGTTCACTGGTCTCAGAAAGGGTCTAGTCAGACTCCTGTCTGTGTGTCAGGTGCCTGGCTCAAAGTGAATGTTCAATGAATATTTGCAGAAGACGTGACTCTAGTATCAGATCTGCAATTGAGAACTATGTGTCCACAAACAGGTCACTTTTGTCTCTGGGCCTCAGTTTCCCTATCTGCAATATGTAGAAGAAATGACCAGTTAGTCATTCTCGCCTGAGCCTTTTCTGATTTTAAGATATTAAAGATTAAGAAGAAAAGCATTATGTATTAACGTGGGACTTTGCTAATTACGTGATATTATTTTCCTAAGGAAAAGCTATTATTTTAGAAATATTTATTTTAGTACTTGTGTATGTGTGTCAGTGTAGGTATGTGTGTGCACCACATGTGTGGAAGAGCCCTCAGAGGTCAGAAGAGGCATCAGATTCTCTGGAACTGCAGTTATAAATGGTTGTAAACCGCCGTGTGGGTGCTGGGAGACGAACATGTGTCCTCTGTAAGAGCAGTAAGTGCTCTCAACTGTTGGCCATCTTTCCAGCCCCAGGAGAAGTTCCTTATTTGTGTCAGGTGTGATTAGATAGACATTAATCAAATTACACACGAATTATAAAGTGCCATGGTTGCCTCATCTCTGTTGCACACTTTTTGGTTATAAAGGGCTTTTCACATACATGGCCTCAAGAGTTCTATAGTCTAGGGGTTACACACACAGATCTCCATGGTGCATAGATCTGGATGCAAGTCTGCTTTGCTCTCTTACAAACTAGGCTCTTGAGCAAGATTCTGAGTTTCTCTTTCTTCATCTTAAATGGGAAAAAAATTAGGACATTCATCACGGGGCTATTATGAGAACACAGGGGGAAAAAACGTGTTCACGGCTTCCAACACAATGCCTGACATATGGCTGCTAAGTAGTAGCTATTTTTTATGTCTTAAATACCATTCATTCTGAAATCTATTTTAGTAGCTATTATTATAGTGTACTTTTTTTTTTTTTTTACATAACTCTTTTCTTTATCTCTTCCAGAGGAAAGACGGCTTTAAAATCAGACAGCTTTGAGATCCGCTCTGAAGTACAGCACTTACTAGCTGTCCTAGTCAGGGTTACTGTAGCTATGATAGAACACCAGGACCAAACTAGCCTGGGGAGAAAAGGGTTTATTGGGCTGACATGTTCACATCGCTGGTCATCACTGACTGAAGTCAGGACAAGGACTCAAGCAGGAGAGGAGTCTGGAGGCAGGAGCTGATGTTGAGGCTATAGATGGGTGCTTCTTACTGGCTTGCTCCTCATGGCTTGCCCAGCTTGTTTTCTTTCAGAACCCAAGACCACCAGGCCAGGGGTGGTACCACCACCATGGGCTGGAACCTCCCACTTCAGGGACTAGTTTTTAAAATGCCCTATAGGCTTGTCTGCTTATAGCCAATCTTATGGAGGCATTTTCTCAATTAAGGTTCTCCCCTTTCAGATGACCCTAATTGTGTCAAGCTGGCATAAAACTAGCTAGCACCCTAGGTGCAAAATGCAAACAATGAAGCAGCGTTGTCTATGAAGATGGGGTGAAGTTTTCCAAGCCACGATGACTTCATTCAGAAATAAACTCCCTCTATGAAAATGGGGTAATATAATTGTTCACCAAGACCTGTCAAACACTGAGACATTGAGAAAGGCAGGAAGACTTCGGGAAGTGTTGGGGAGGAAGAATTTTAATCTCTCCCCTTTCTGATTTTTTTAAATCTTATTTGCTGTTTGTTTGGCACTGTGTGGAACTGAGGATGAAGCCAGGGTCGTGTTAAACGAATACCCTGCTACTGAGCAACATCCCTGCCTCCCTTTTAATTTTAGTTGTTTTTAATGATATTTTTCCCCTCAATCTGAGAATTCAATCAACAGATTATTGGGAAAAGCATATATACTTACTAAGTACTTTTTTTTGTAATCCTTGTCATAGCCTCCTTTCTGTTGCTATAAATAAAACACCATGACCATCCAGGCAGTGGCAGAGCATGCCTGTAATCTTAGTACTTGGGTGCCAGGTGGATCTTTGAGTTCGAGGCCAGCCTGGACTACAGGACAGCCAGGGCCACATAGAGAAACCCTTGAATTGCCCTCCCTCTAAAACACTCACCATAACCAAAACTGCTGGAGGAAAGCATTTATTTGGCTTATAGGTTACACTGTCAATCATGGAGGAAGCCAAGGCAGGAAGCCAAGGCAGGAATCCGAAGCAGAGACCATGAAGAATGCTTACAGATTCATTCTCCATGGCTTGCTCAGCTTGCTTTCTTATACAACCCAAGATCACCTGCTTGGGGTGGCAGTGCCCACAGTGGCCCGGGTCTTCCTGTATCTATTATTAAACATGAAAAAGCCCCACAGATATGCCCACAGGTCTGATGGGAGATTCTTCAGTTGAGGTTCCCTCTTCCCAGGCGACTCTGCTTTGTGTCAAGTTGACCGTACTAACCAGCACATGCATTAAGTGTGTAAGCATCTTTAAAAGGTTAACGCAGATGAGATTTTTAAGTATATTAATACAGGAGTCCTCCTAAAGAAATAGAGAATCAATGAAGAAGCTGAACAAGCAATCACATGCACTGAACTAGAAAAGTAATAGTAAGTTGTAAATTGTGGTGAGGTGAGCTTGGCTGGAGTCGAAAAGCAGATTGGTATAGAGGTGATCAAGAAGCTAAGGATTGCTGTAACAAGGTCTGCGTGTACAAACTGCCATGGCTTCTGCTTTCTGTCCTTGACAATAAGAACTTTCCTTAGTATAGAGAGGACACTTCACACGGAGATGGCATTTTTGCTTTTAAGAAAGAGATCAGACTGATCTTGGACCTACTCTTTTCTTTCTTTCTTCTTTAACTTATTTTATGTGTATGGGTGTTTTGCCTGCATGTATGTCTCTGTACCATATGCATATGGTAACCGTGGAGGTCAGAAGAAGACATTGGATCCCCTGGGACTGGAGCTACAGACAGTTGTGAGCTGCCATGTGGGTGCTGGGAATTGAACCCAGGTCCTCTGCAAGAACAGCAGGTGCTCTTAGCTGCTGGATTCCTGCTCTTTTTAAAGTGTTGTTATTCAAAATAGGCATGATACCATAGCAATGTATTTTGGAGATCTCTCTCTCTCTCTCTCTCTCTCTCTCTCTCTCTCTCTCTCTCTCTCTCTCTCATTTTTTGAATAGACTCCCACTGTATAGTCCTGGTAATGTGTGCTTGTAATCCCATATCCCACCTTATAGTACTGGTTGTGTGCCTGTAATCCCAGAACCCAAGAATCTGAGACAGGAGGATCTTTATGAGTTTAAGACCATCCAAGGCTACATAGTGAAACCCTGTCACCAAAGGGTCAGGGTACAGTAGAATGCTCAGTTAGCAAAGTGCTTGCCATACTTCATGAAGACTTGAGTTCAGTCCTCAGTGCCCACATAAAAAGCCAGGCATGGTGGCATGCACTTGGTATCATAGCACCAGGAGGCAGAGACAAGAGGGTGCCTGGGGCTTGATGGCTTCCTAGTCTAGCCTAATCAGCAAGACCCAGGTTACAGTGAGAAAGTCTGTCTCAAAGCAAGGAGGACAGTACCTCAGTAAAAACACCTGAGGTTGACATCTGACAATGAATAAACACATGTGCAGTGTGCACTTACCCAACCACCTGCATGCATGCACAGACATAGATATATAGAAAGAACACAAGCAAGCGAGCTGAGTGACTGAGTGTGGTGTTATAGTTTGCAATCCCAGTACTTAGGAAGCAGAGACATAATAAGGATCAGGAGTTCAAAGTGAGCCTGGATTACATGAGACCCTGTCAAAAAAAAAATGAAAATAAAATAAAAGATTAGGAAGGCCAGGCCAAGCCCCTGGGTTTCCTAAGAAGCCATTGAGTCACCTGACCTGGGCCTTTAGCAGAGGACCTGCCTGCTGAAGTGAGGTTTTCATGGAAGATGAAATGCATTGCCCTTACCCATGAGGCAGTGAGCACTGAGAAACTCCATTCCGAGGCAGGCGGAGGTGAACTAAAGGCCGCCCTCAAAACCTCTCTATCTCAAGCTGCCAAATTGCTCTGTGTCTCTGGGACTGTGATTGGGCCCAGGAAGTAGGAGTCAGCAACTCTGAGGCAAAAACTCAGAAAGACAGTGAGTGTTCGGGTGGAATGCCAGGTCCTCAGAAGAATGCTTCTTTGTCTGCATGCCACCTATGCCAAAGCAAAACACATGTATCAGCATCTTACATCTGCAAGAGAGTCTAAGAAGTTTAAGCAACAAGAAAGGGCTAAGTATAGACTGATTGTTCATGATCATCTTTGCTAATTCAGGAAGTATGAAATGTTTTGCGAGTCTCCTTCCTTAGAAAGCAGGTTTTATTATTTTACTTTACCAAGCATAAAAGCGAATGAGGGCTCCGTAAACGTTTCATGCCCTCTGGCTACACCTTCCCACAGCGATTTTCAAGATGTAACTGTCACGAATGAGGTGCTGATGGAAAAGTGGCTCAATTGCTTGTCGTCTGAGCAGCTTTTCATGACAGGACATGAATAGTGAGCTGCAGGGACTATGTGGTGAGCGAGCATAACTTCCGGAATATTCTGAGTCGCCCTCTGTTACACTCTTACTCTTCCCTAGGGCTGAATTAGCACCAAAAACTGAATTCGTTTGAATGTGTTCTCTTTTTCTCCTGTATTCCATAGATGGATGGACAAAACGATGGGTGCAATCCAAACACCAGTCTGATTACGGTAAATTCCAGCTGACCGCAGGGAAATTTTATCAAGACAAAGAAAGAGATAAAGGTAAAGACTAGAATTCAGGAACGTATTGATGGGCTCGGAAAAGTATGACTTTTACCCAGTTACTTTTATACATGGTTGATAATTCACTTATTCCCCTTACCTAAACAAATAAAATAGAATAAAAGAGTACATGGAGCTGAACTTGATAGTGAGTGTCTATAATCCTGTACTCGGGAGGTTGAGGCAGAAGGATAGCCATGGGTTTGTAGCCAGTTTGGGCAAAAAAGATAGGTTCCAGGACATCCTGGATTATAGAGTAAGATCTCTCTCTCTCTCTCTCTCTCTCTCTCTCTCTCTCTCTCTCTCTCTCTCACACACACACACACACACACCCCAAAACAAAAGTAAGTAAAAAAGGACGGCCCTTCCACAAACTGTATCATGCCCTGGAAGTGGGTAATGGACACATTATCCCGTTCATCTTCCTAACATCTTACTGAAGCGGTTTTTATTGTCTTCCTCAAAGAGGTTTTGATAGTTGCCTGAGGCTGTTACACAGCTGAGAGAGGTCTGACTCTGGCCCTGACTCCAGGGACTGTGTCCATCACCACTAACCTGCACTGTCTCCCCCAAACTCCTATAATTTTATAGGTAGCAGTCCACACTGGGAACCCAAGAAAGCCCCACTAGGGACCCGAATGTTGCTCTGTCTAGAGCAGCTTTGGGGGATGGAGAGGAGAGCAGATGGGCCCTGGGATGGCTGACTAGCTGAGTAAGGGAAGCTTGTCTCCTTGCTCCTCAGAGTGTTGATTTTAGATGAGGATAACCTTCCCCTGCCATGCTCACCAGACAGAGCTTTCGTAAGGGCCAAATGACGTTGCGGAGGAAGGGCGAATTCCGAGACAGGGACTGTGGGCATGGGTTCTTGGTCTGAGAAAGCTTTTGTTCTATAAATAGAGTTCATTGATCATCCCCTGGAGTGATTTCCCATCTCCCTCCATCTGGCTACTGTTATGAATCTCATTTTCATATTTATTAAAGGAGAGAATTATGAACTGACTTGAGCGTTTTAAAATCTCGTTTCAATCCTCTCTGGAAAACCGTTTTCAGAGGATAGAGAACTGGAGATGGAGCATCTCCTGGGACACTTGTGTCTTGGTCCTCCAGAACCGGCAGTCTGCGCAGCCACACGTCTCCTTACAGTTTGGCTTCTTGGCTGATCCTCCCGCATTCCATGCTCTGTGGTCCATTAGATTCTGGTTGTCTGGAAGGACACCGGGGTCACAGTTTGGTTTATACAGCAGGGTGTGGCAGGGCAGAGCCTCAGGATGTAGTCTTCTGCCATCTGCCCATTCCTTCCTGGCTCTTCTAGCCCCTTAGAGGCTTTAAGAGAAGTAGGAATACTTTTCAAAATGAGACAGCTCCCAGCCAGATGTCAGATGTGAAGGTGTTTACCACACAGCTCGGTGTACAAGAAATGCTTGAGCCCTTTTCTGAATCAGACTCTGTGCGCCTTCCCGTAATTTAGCATATTTTGTTGTTGTTGATTGTTTGTTTTTAGAGTCAGGGTTTCTCTGTGTAGCCTTGCCATCCTGGAACTAGCTCTATAGACCAGGCTGGCCTCGAACTCATAGAGATCCGTCTGCCTCTGCCTCGACTGCTGGGATTAAAGGCATGCACCACCATCACCCGGCTTGTTGTTGATTTTGAAGAACGGGTCTCACGTAGCTCAAGTTGGGTTTGGACTACCTATCTCCCTGCCTCCGCTTCTCAAGGGTTGGGATTACAGGCGTGTGCTACCAACTCCAGCTTCATTACTCATTCACTTACTCATTGAGCATTTCTGCGTGTCTGTCATTTGTGGTTGTGTGATCCTTAGCAAGGCACTTCCTATTTGATTGCTTCATATGCTTAGCCTAGAGAAGCTCTGGGGCCCCTGGCAGTTCTGCTATTCACTGAAAGGATCTGGCATTACCACGAATTTGTGAAACCAATTCAATGACTTCATGACAAAGTGAAGAAATTGGTACAGCTCACCTTACGTTGTTATTGTCAGGGTTAAATACGCGTGAATGAAGAAACCCTCTGTAGAGTTAAATGTTAAGGGCTGGGGAGACGACATTGCATTAAGAGTGCATGCTGAACAAGAGACCTGAGTTCAAATCCCTAGAATCAGGGCTGGGGAGACGAGTCAGCAGTGGTCAAGATATAAACAGCACATGCCGTTCTTCCAGAGGACCCAGGTTTCCAGCTCCCATATAGCATCTCATAACCATCTGTGAACTCCAGTCCCATGGGGTCCATTGCCCTCCTCTGTCATCTGCAGGCACAATGCGCATGTGATGCACATACATCCAGACAAAACACACAAAATAAATCAATCAATCCCCAGGACCCACATAAAAAGCTGGGATGGCCGTGTACTCCTGGAACCCCAGTGCTGGTGTTGGGGCAGAAACAGGGCAGTAACACCGGGCTTACTGGCTGCTAACTCCAGGTTCAGTGAGAGACCCTGTCTAAAGGAACAAGGTGGAGAGTGATGGAGCAGAATAACCAGCATCTTCCTCTGGCCTCTGTGTATTCAGAAGCATATACACCTGTGCATGCAACATATACACACACACACGTATGCACACACACAATGTTCACAAAAGAGTTCAATTATTTAGTGATTAAAATATTCAGTGACTTTAATCCCAGCACTCGGGAGGCAGAGGCAGGCGGATCTCTGTGAGTTCGAGACCAGCCTGGTCTACAAGAGCTAGTTCCAGGACAGGAACCAAAAGCTACGGAGAAACCTTGTCTCGAAAATCAAAANAAAAAAAAAAAAAAAAAAAAAAAAAAAAAAAATTCAGTGAGCTACCGTAACAATTATTATCTGAGCTAATTCTGGGCTTCTTTCTACTGTAGCACTTATAGAAAGCAGAACCTTATTCTGCTGTCTAGCCGGCCTCGGCAAGGCAGGGTCTTGACTTATAAAGCTGCGGCTTTATAAAAGTCTCTAGAAAACAAGCGATAGCATGGTGCAGAGGAATGCATCAATGTGGCTTGAAATTCCAGTGAGGTCGCTTCCATGCCATGCAGCTTCACGCCTCCTCCCCGTGACTCAGCCTCCTAACTTATTAAATGGGCGAAGAGCCCACTTTTCAGGGCTGCCCGGAGGCGCAGATGAGATAATATTACACAGCTCCCTGCACTGCACCTGGAACACCGTAGTGTGTGAGGAAATGCTATAGCTTGGTTAAGTCCAGCGCCGGGTCTCTCTAGGTACTTTCGGGGGAATTTCAGCCTGAAGCCTCTGCTCTTTCTCTGTTACCAGGTCTCCAGACCAGTGAAGACGCCAAGTTCTATGCCCTTTCCACCCGGTTTAAGCCATTCAGCAATGTGAATGAGACCTTGGTGGTTCAGTTTTCAGTAAAACACGAGCAAGGCATCGATTGTGGCGGTGGGTATGTGAAACTCTTTCCTGCCACACTGAACCAGGAAGACATGCACTCAGAGTCCCAGTATTACATCATGTTCGGTAGGTAAGCTCCCTGGAACAGCTGCTCTCGGCCCCTGGGGGTTTGGGTGAGAACCCCTGTGCTGGTTGAAAAGACTTAGACCTGGAACAGACAGCTTGTAATTCGATAGCTCCACATCCCCTGTGCAGCAGGGCTCTCCAGAGACCTGAAAAGAAGGCATCTCTAAGCCCAAATGTTAATATAAATAGACCAAAGCGGTGTGGAAGTACACGGTACTGCAAGTCTATAGCACACGGGGACGCAGCCCAGTTTTCAGAAAGAGAGGAGCACAGACCTACTGCAAGGCACTGTGCTTTGCCCAGAGAGAACTACAGCAAGGGTCAGGGAAATGACCGTCTGTAAGCATCTGTGAACGTCCAGAGTGGGACATTTGTAGCCTACATATGGAACTAGGCATTCTTGAGGCTCTCCAGCTTTTAGCTCCAACCTTGAGTCCAGCTTCAACTGTTGATACTGAAAAGCCAGCAAACAACAACCATTCCAGCCTCTGAAGCACAGATGAAGAATGCGGGCTAAACCGGATGTTTTTGTACAAAGTCAGTGAGAGGTTATGCTGGACAGCAGGCACTAACATTCCCTTAATTCTCTTTAGATACTTCCTTTCCCTGGCAGCCTCAACTAGCACTTGCCTTTCCTCCTCATCCCCTCCCCTCCCCTCCCTTTCTCCCTTCCCACTCCCCTTTCCTCTTCTCCCCTACTCCCCTCCCTCCCTTTGCCCATGTAGTACTCTTCCCTTTTCAAATTCTCCTCTTCAGCTTCATTGCCCCTTTTAAAATCTGCATACTTTTTCTTTCTGAAATCTCACCCCCTCTTACAAGGTCTTACTCTGTAGTTCCAAACTCAATATGTAGCCCAAATTGGCTTCAAATCCACAGTGATCCTCCTTCTTCAGCACCCCCAAGTGCTGAGATCATAGGCGCAAGCCCCCATACCTGCTTCTAGTCTTTCTCTCATGCAGAGTGTAGCACTAGGGTGTGAGAAGCGTGTCTGCTGCAGTATCTTTCTATTTTATTCGGAATCTGTACTGTGTATTACTCTCCCCATTTTGCAGATGAGGAAATAATAAGAAATTTGCTCAAGGTAAGTAGAAAACCAGACAGAGTCAGTCTGTCTATAAAGTCTGCATCTTCTCCCTTCAGGCAACTGAATACATTTTTTAAAAACAGAATGAAATCTACATTCTTACAAAAGTATTGAGCCAGGCTGGAGAGATGGCTCAGCAGTGAAGAGCCCTGGCTGCTTCTTAAGAGGATGTTGTGGTGTGTATGCATGTGCTGTATGTACATGTGTTGTGTGTGTGGTATGTGTATTTGAGTTATGTTGTGTGTGTTATATGTATACGTGTTGTATGTGTGGTATGTATGTATGAGTATGAGCGTGTGTTGTGTTGTGTGTGCGTGTGTTGTATGTACGCGTTGTGTGTGGTACGTGTGTGTGAGTGTGTTGTATGTATATGTGTTGTGTGTATGGTACGTATGTATAAGTGTATGTGTTGTGTTGTGTGTGCATGTGTTATATGTACATGTGTTGTGTGTGTGTGGTACGTGTGTATGAGTCTGAATGTGTGTTGTGTTATGTGAGCGTGTGTTGTGTTGTGTGTGCGTGTGTTGTATGCATATGTGTTGTGTGTGTGATACGTGTGTATGAGTGTGAGCATGTGTTGTGTTGTGTGTGCCTGTGTTGTATGTACAAATGTGTGTGTGCAGTATGTGCGTGTGTGTGAAGCTGAGAAGTTCTTGGTGAGTTATGGGTAGAGAGCGATAACGTGAAAGTCTCAGCCCTCTCTGGGCTCCCCAGCTCTGACCCAGTTCTCAATAGAATTGTCACAAAGTCTGAGAGGTCTCAGGCTCTTCTTCCTAGGTAGGAATGGCTCCTGACTTTTCTGAGCCATGCTCATTTAAAATGGAGATGGTAATGCTTAATTTGTCAGAATTAAGTGATGTGCTGGAAATTCCTGGCTTAAGAGGGGCTTCCTGTGGGATTGGCCCATGGGGTCCTGGCAGGAGACCAGAGGAAGTTTTGAGGTGTATCTCTCAGCTGAAAGCCTGTCTCTCCTACTGTGCCCCCCACTCTCTCCCTGGTTTGCTGCCCTGCCCTGCCCTTTCTGCTGCTTACCCTGAGCAGCTCTGTACCTTCTTCTCTCAAAGCCTTGCCTCCTGCTTTGTGAAGAATCCCTTTCATCAAATCCTTCTCAAATAATCCTGACTCTGAGTGTGGCATCTGTTTCTTTCTGGAAATACGGAGTGAGACACAGGCTGCATCTGTCTTGGGTCTTGGCCTCAGACTGGGCACGCTGCCTGAAATAGATGTGAAATCACACTTTGGGGTTTAATTTCCAGGCCCGGACATCTGTGGCTTTGGCAATAACAGACTACAGGTCATCTTTTATCACCATGGGAAATACCACGAGAACAACAAGACCCTCAAGTGCAGGGTAAGTATGTGGATTAGTCTTCAGCTCAGAGCAAGACATTTTATTTTGACATTTTTAAAATTGTATTGATTTTTATATGTATGGTTATTCCACCTCTATGTGTCTGTGTCCCACATACATGACTGGTAACCACAGAGACCAGGATAGGAAGCCAGATCCCTTGTGACTAGAGTTACAGGTTGTTATGAGATGCATGCATGTGCTGAGAGTTGAACCAAGGTTCCCTGGAATAGCAGTCAGGCCTCTAAACTGCTGAGCCATCTCTCCAGCCCCAGAAAAAAAAGATTTTATATATGTTATCTCATTTTTTTCCTTATAAAAACTCTATCAATTAAGTGTTATCATCTCCATTTTACAAATTAAGTAGACCTAGAGATGCGCTATATATACATTGTAGGAGTTCACAAGGGAACAGCTGGCCGAAAACACGGGGAAGTAATGTGGGGTGATGTCTGGTGTGGCGTTGTTACCCAGGGCTAGATATTAGCACGGGGGTCAGGAGATGCTTAGATGAGATGGGTGGGTCAGTTTATCTCAGGAACAGAAAGTCAAAGGCATCTAGATTAGCTAGAGCACAGTAGGTACGGTCAATCAACAATCCTAACAGGCATTATTAGCCAAATGCCAATTCTGCCTTGTGGACTTAAGAATGGGATAGATTCAGTCAGATAGGTCTTTTAAATTAACCAAACTCACAGTAAAGCCTGATATAGTGATTTGTGCCTGTAATCCCAGCAACTCTGAAGGCTGAGGTGAAAGGGCTGTGAGTTCAATGCCAACCTGGGCAATTTAGCAAGATCTTACCAAGCCAAAACAACCAGAACTTTCACAATTGAGTAAAGAATAAGAGTCAAGCAAAGGAAAGTGATGTGGGAGCAGAGAAGAGGGCTCTGCCTCCACCTGGAGGCTTAGGTAAGGATCGCTTCCTGGAGAAGGCTTCCCTGTGCTGAAGATGAGCATGCTCTAGGAAATGAGTGTGACGATTCTGGGGAAAGATGACCTCCTGGAAGAGGAGACTTGCATGAGCAAAGGCAATGAGACTTAAGAAACCGAGGCACCGCGTGAGGGCCGATACAGTTGGTGTGCGAGGGAGTGGCAGGAACGGAATCCAGAACAGCTCGAGAGGCCTGGGGCTTTAGAGATCTTGTGTTGAGGTTAGACCTTCCTGACCAGCTTTGTACAGGGGGCTGGATGTTCTGAGTCCCCACTCTGCGGCAAATCTCAGTTTGGAAGGTTAGGCGTGATAGAGGAATCATATATGACCCCTGCTCACAATTTAGTAGGACAGACAGAAAACAAGATTAGAGAATGATCAAGCTTTAGGTGAGTAGGGGCTGGAAGATGGGGGACCACAGGAGTGAACCTATAGGAGCGTGCACCCTCAGGGCGAACATAGAATCCCTGTAGGTGTATTAACTAGAGGAAGGGAGAGGGGAACGCGGTACAATGTGTGTAAATATGCAAGGGGAGCATGCAGGCAGCATGTGTCTGAGGTCTACAGTGTCCTACACGGGGCTGAAATATCACCCACTCCCTTTCCAGATCAATAAAGACACTCACCTGTACACTCTGATCATCCGCCCCAATGCTACTTACGAGGTTAAGATTGACAACGAGAAGGTGGCAACGGGGGCCCTGGAAGACGACTGGGACTTCTTGCCTCCCAGGAAAATAAAAGACCCCTATGCCAGGAAACCAAGGAAATGGGATGAACGGCTACAAATAGAGGATCCTGAAGATAAGAAACCCGAGGTCAGAGGGAGGAGTTTAGTTGGGAAGCTGATCTCAGGGAGAAGAAGGTACAGTCAGGACAATTAGGGCAGATGAGTAAGTCAAGTGTCTGGGAGGTTGGCGCCGTGAGAAAATAAGGGTCTGAGTTCAAGCCAGGTCTAGCAGGTACGCTCAGGGTAACATGACTGAAGGTGAAGACTGTGTGGGAGCAAACCACAGACAAACCAGAGCAGCAGCTCACATGACTGAGGGCAGAGACAAGGATGATACCCCTCTGAAGTGAGTCTAAACCTCTCAAGGTCAGAACCGCGGTGAACCGGGGTCTGTATAGGCCTTTTCTCTCCTGCACCGGGTATTCACAGAGAGCAGGAGGACAGGGCAGGTAGAGAGTCAATCCCCCTGTCTGCACTTGAGTCCCCAGTGTCCTCCCAGATCATGTCACCATCCTCATGAAGGAACATTCTGTTTTAGGACTGGGAGGACTCTGAGTTCATCCCAGACCCAGAAGCCAAGAAGCCAGATGACTGGAATGAGGAGATAGATGGGGTGTGGGAAGGGCCGCTGATACCGAACGCCAAGTACAAGGTGAGAAGCTCGCTTTTTAATAAAAATTTATACAGAGAAATCAGATGGGAAATATGTCAATCCTAATTTAGAAAATAAAATTTCTAACCTGAAGGCTTGTAATCCTAACCCTTAGGAGGTTAAGACAGGAAGATTGCAAGTTCAAGACTAGCCTGGGCTGTACAACAAGACCTCGTCTCAAAACAAAATAAAACAAAGTAAAAACAAAGCAGAAACTCTGACATCCTGTGCTCTTTCCCTCTCTACTCCACACAGGACCGTGGCCACCGCAGAGTCTGTTCTCAGCTCCTCCCACTTGTAAGGGGGAGGGGCTGGTAAAGCCAGCATGAGGGAATGGTTCAGGCAGGCTTGGGCAAGGACCTTGTCCAGAGTTGGGAAAAGCTGCCAGTTAAAGGAACAAGATACAAACAGGAAATGGTGTAGGGCTCAGGAACCCCATGTCTCAGAAGCAGGCCAGAAGGGCAAAGAGTGGGATCCCCCTGAGTCCACCGTGTTTAGGGGATAAAGGAACTTCTCTTAAAGGGCCAACCCCTGCTGTCATGTCAGGAGCAAGCACCAAATGACTCAGCTGACAAACGGTCTGACAATAAACCTGACTGGAGCAGGCATTTTATCTGGCCACAGTTTCCTGTGCCACACAGGAGAAAAGAAAAGGTCCAAGTGCCAAGATACTTAGACAATGTTCTCCAAAAAGCTGCATTTTCTTAACTTCATGAATACGCCTGTTAAGAGAGCAGGCCGGGCCAGGCCACTCCTGCCAAGTCATTTCACTCCCAGGGAGCGGGCAGAGTCTTTACTCAAAGAGAGGGAAAGTTCTAGGAGTCTGGTACACTGCTTATAAACTCACTAATGCTTTTTGATTGTATGATATTAGGAGAGTGGAAAATTGTTACTGACATGTCCACTGTTGGTTCTCTGTGTAGGGAGAATGGAAACCTCGGATCATTGACAATCCCAATTACCAGGGTGAGTGGATCCACCCAGAGATAGACAACCCGAAATACAGGCCTGACCCCAACATTTGCCACTATTATAACATCAGCGTCCTTGGCCTGGATCTTTGGCAGGTAAATCACTCTGGGCTCAAAGCCCCTGACCAGCAGTCCTTGTAGCTCCCACAAAGTAGACAAAGTAGAAGAAGCCCTAGCCTGGAAGTTACAGACTTGAATAAGTCTTGATCTTTCTTAACCTCAAACAACTCACCTTTAAGATGAGAGTAATTGTAGATATCTTCAAAATTTTAAGAGTCAAAACTTACTTAGTCCCTCTATGCACCACTGGATTAAAAACTTGGCATGTTTGTTTAATTTTCACGGTATATCTATTTCTCAACATCAGAAAGTTGAATAAATTTCCTAAAGATATGCATCTAGTAAGATAAGCAGAAGACGGGCTGGAGCAGCAGCCTTTCTTCATCAGGCCTACTCCAGTGTGCTACTAGTACTTTTTGAGGCCTTTGTTGACCTTACAGGATTGGCTCAGTTGTTTTGTTTTGTGATAAGGTCTCCTGTGGTGCAGACTGGCCTCCCTCCGAAGTGCTACAAGGTTGAGATAACCTTGAACTTCTGCTCCTCCTGCCTCCACCACCTCTAACTGTTAAGTCACCAAAGCTTCTGGAATGAGCACCCCCATGTTTTACTTTCTTAGATTCTTCATTCATTTCCTGCCCCCCCCCCCCATTTTCTCAGTTTTCTGACTTCAGGAGGTCAGCATAGAGACGGAATGAAGTCACTACCAGATGCCAGGCAGGGGTTCAGAAGGGCAGGGAAGGAGGAAGGGACACAGGGTGTCTTTCCTTCCTGGCTGATCTGGAGAACACAGATACAAATCACACACAATCACGTTGCTATCTCTTTCTTTTTTTAGGTTGTTACTTTTAGGTAAACCAGAACTTTCTATATTATGTAAACATATAAAACCATATTGATGTGCGTACTCTGCTTCCTCAAAAACAATTACATTTATTTAATGTGCGTCTCTGCGAGTGTACACACACGTGTGCATAGCCAGTGTGTGCATGGCCATGTGTGCATGGCCAGTGTGTGGCGGAGGTCAGAGGACAAGTTGTGGAGGTCAGCTCTCTCTTTTCATCATGTGGGTTCCAGGGACTGGACTTGGTCCCCAGGTTTGCCCACAAGTGTCCTTATCTTCCAGAGCCATGTCATCGGCCTTTAAAGTATTTCTGGGCTCCGCCAACCTCTCTAAACAGGCAAACCTTCCTTTCCTGTTTGAAGAATTTAGCCACATCAGAGGCGTGCTCTCCAAGCCTTAATTTTAATGCATGTCGACAGAGGATCACAGATTCTGATCTGGAACGAAGCCCCAGAGACTTCATTTCTAAAATCCAAGGCGTGTGTGTGTGTGTGTGTGTGTGTGTGTTTGTGATAATTCTGCATGATGCTGACATCATCCTCACAGACATTTTTTTCCTTATAATTTCCAGTTAGGTCTGACTCTCAGGTCATATTCCTCTTCACTCAGCTAACCAGGACCGTCCATCTCAACACTGAATCCTTGCATCTTATAAGAGAAGCGAAGTGACTAAGCACAGACAGACAGCATTCTTGACCTGCCCCCTCTAGTCATTAGTGTCCAGCCCCGAGATGCTCTGTCTCTGTCCCAGCTGGACAGCCCAGTCCCTGACACTTCCTGGTTCCCATTCTGGTGCCTCCAAATCCAGTCCATTACTTTTCCCCTACTTGAAAGTGATTGCATTCTGGGGTCAGGGCTGAAGATTGGAGGAGACAGCAGAGAACAAACATATACAAAAACAAAAATATGACAAAAGCCTTTTGGAGAGAGAGAGTGACTGTGTGTGGTTTATAAGCTTGTATGTATGTAGGTGCGCATACCTATGGCCAGAGGAGAGCGTCGGGTGTCCTGTTCTATTACTGTCTACCTTGTTCTCTTGAGACAGTGTCTCTCATTGAACCTGGAGTGAGGCTGGCAGCCAGCAAGCCCCGATGAGCCTCCTGTCTCTACCCCAGACAGCACTGGGGTTGCAAGGCATCCTCACAGCCATACTGGGGATCCAAACTCAGGTCCTCTTGTTTATGCAGCAATCACTCTGGGCCCCTGCCATGTCTCTAACCCTCTAGGAACCGAGCTGTAATAACCTCATGGTTTTCATTTCAACAGGTGAAGTCGGGCAGTATCTTTGACAATTTCCTTCTAACAAATGATGAAGAGTTTGCTGAAGAGGTCGGAAATAAGACCTGGGGATTAAGAAAGGTGAGGTGTTTTTCCACCTTAAATTCCAGAGGTCCGATTCTGTCATTTGTAAAATCAGGACCCACAATCACTATCCTAGTTCTGGTCACATGACCTTGAGAGACAGAGAACTCACATTCATTGGGCATCTTCCGACTTGTCACTTTGAGCACTTTTCAAAATATGTCTTACTTGGCCCTTAAGGAGACCTTGCAATATAGATATTATTGCATTTCTTAGGTATGGAAACTGAGGTTCAGAGGCTACACTGCCCAAGGTCACACAGCCTTTGACTTGTTGAGTTGGAGCCTGAACCCAGAAACCATTCTCCTTTTGTGGGCCACAATGCCTTCTCAGTGTGCCATTAGAAGGAGATGCCCAATCCACCTCAGAGGAGTGGGAAACCCGAGAGAATGGTATTACTGTTTATCAGCTCCTCCCTTCCCGACACTATTTTATGTGGGGGGTGATATTCGGGACGATGACTTCAGAAGGAAGACATCCTGCATCCAGATGCCCTGGCTCTGCAGCAGGAAGGTCAATCCAAGTAGGTTTATAGCCCGGGCTTAATACTTTAGCAAGAAAGCACCAGACACAGAAGGTAAAGGCAAAAACAACCCCGCCCCCACCTGCCCTGAGCTGGAGAAATGGCTCCTTGAGAAAGCGTGTGCTGTGTAAGCCTTAGGATCAGAGTTCGCATTCCCAGAGCCCACACAAAAGCCATGCGCGTCGTGTTCAGGCACACAGGCTGCGCTAGGCAACTGTTCGGCCACTGAGCTATCTTACGAGAACTTTTCACTTTTTATTTTAAGATGGGGGTCTCACCAAGTTACCCAGGCTGGCTTTGAAGTCACTCCGTAGCCAAGGCTGGCCTTGAACATGTGTTCTTAGTCTTCAGTCTACTAAGGAGTTGAGATTACAGGTCTTTGGCACCAGGCCTGACTCCCAGAGGATCTAACTGAAGCTGTTAGGCGTGGTAGCATTTGCCTTTACCCACTGGGATATCTTGCTGATTCTGTGCTCAGCTTTAAAAATACTCCTTAATCTAGTTTTGTCTTATTTTAACTTAGTGTGATCATCTTTATTTTGTGATACTAGAGATCAAACCCAGAGCTTTGCTCATCCTAGACTGAACCACTCCCCAGCCGTCCAATAGTAATGCTGTGTCGTTATCATATATGAGTGAAGAACGTGAGTTTCCTAGATAGACTGCTCAGGTTCAAATCCAGGCTCCGTCCCTGACTGGTTATATGAACTTGGCCAATTTATTTAACTTTCCTCGTCTATCGATTAGGAAAATTGATAGCAAACTATCTTCTAAGTTCCTAACATCTAGCATGTGTTCAATACATGATAACTACAGCCGGGTGGTGGTGGCGCACGCTTTTAATCCCAGCACTCGGGAGGCAGAGGCAGGCGGATCTCTGTGAGTTCTAGACCAGCCTGGTCTACAAGAGCTAGTTCCAGGACAGGCTCCAAAACCATAGAAAAACCCTGTCTCGAAACCCCCCCCCCCAAAAAAAACATGATAACTACAAACCATGCATTCATTTGACAAATACTTGGTAAGAACCTGTTCACCACAGCAGTTGTTGGGGATATAGCAAAGAAATAAAATTGAGACATTTTTATCTTCGTGGGGTTTATATTCAGTTTGGAGAGAACAAAATATAGAAAGGCCACATGAGCTGGGTATGAGGGCACATCCAACACTGTAAAACTACAGGAAGGGAAGCAGGGATGGAAGGACTAAGAAAGAGTCCACGGTTGGGCATGGTGGTGCACACCTTAAATCCCAGCACTCAGGAGGCAGAGGCAGGTGCATCTCTGTGAGTTCCAGCCTGGCCTGGTCTACATAGTGAGTTCTAAGACAAGCCAGGGCAGCATAGGTCTCAAAAATTTTTTCTTAAAGAAAAAAAAGAAAGCATTCCAGGTCATTCTACACTATGTAACAACACTCTATCTAAAGGACAAAATAAGCAAACAAATAAATAAGAAATCCAAACATCAGATTCCCTCACTTAGGAAATGGGATGAGTAACATACGCACTGCTGTGAGGAACGCAAACAACACACCAACGTTGTCTAGCCTGCGCTGGGCAGTGATAGAGGCACCAAATAAATAGATGATGGAAAAAGTGAAGCATTTAAAAAATTTTTATTACATCTATTTAGAGTGTAAGTGCATGCACATGCCACAGAATGTATGTGGAGGTCAGAGGGCAACTCCTACTATATGAGTCCCAGGGACCAAACTCCGGTCATCAGGCTTGGTCAAGGACCTTTCCTTACTTCCAGCCTCATCTTCCAGCCTACTTTACTTTTTAAATTACTTTATTTTAGTTTTTACTTCATTTTACTTTTCTCATTTTGAGACAGGGTCTTAGGTCAACCTTAAAGTCTTTGTGTATCAGAGGATGACCTTGAACTCCTGATCCTGCTTCCACCTCACAGGTGCTAGGGTTATAGGTATTCAACACTATGCCTAGTTTTATATCTATTTTATTTACAAATGCAAGGTACATCATACATCCAGACATAGATTCCTCTCCTCCCCAGAGGTTCTGAAATTCCTAAGTAAAGGAACACCATCCTAGGAATCTTGAAGCCAACGGGAAGGCTAACAGATGTTTCTAAAGTGTATCTGTTTATATCATCTGTGAAACTTTGAAATTCCACACTCTAAACAGGATGTAGAGCAGCAGTGGAGAGAGCTGTTTGAGGAAATGGAGAAAAAGAAGGAGGCAGAAGAGACCAAAATGAAGAGGGAAAGGGAGCGGGCCAGGCAAGAGGACATCTGGGGACTTGATGAGGAGGATGAGGAGGACAATGAAGAAGACTCTGAGGAGGAACCAGATGAAAAGTCCAAGCTGGAAGACAGCGCGTCTCTGGGTAAAAAGGAAGCCCGCTTTGATCAGAAGGATGAGCTGTAACTGCCCAGGGGAATTCTGCACAGAAGCAAGAGACAGTGCTTTACCAGGGGAAATGCTCATGGTTAGCAATGTGGGAAGGAAAGTGACTCACTCTCTTCAGATAAACTTGGGATTTATATTTCCACTCCCCCTCCATGCTCCATTTGCTTATTGGTAGAAAGGGGATGGTATTTTCTGTTTCATGAGGTGGTTATAGGGACTGGTATATGTGTGTAAAGTATCCAATGCAAATACATTGTAAAATAAAAAAAGGGGGAGTTAACTACTGTTAAAACTGCTATCATTATCATGGTGTTTATGAAATTAATTGTTGGTAAATAAGCTTCTGTATAAACTTGGTTCTCACTTTCAGTTGAGCCCTATTCTCCTGGGGATTTTCTGTTTAAATATATACATTTCTCAGTATTTACTGAGCAGTGCTGACAGTTCTACCCAATGTTTTTCTCTTGTAAATGTAATGAGTACCTAGAAACAAAATCAGAACATCTACTGAGAGCTTGGAAAAATACTTCATGAAATTCACTTTGTTCGTGTCCTAATTTTTAAATGACTGTTACTTGTTTGCAGGTTTGCTGGTCTTATTTCTATCTGCTTTGTTCCACCTTCTCACAGCGTCACTATCTCTTGCATTCTTGTAGTTCTTTGTAGATTAGAAAGCATTTTCCCACGCATTTGCAGCCTGCCTACAATGTGCCCATTCAGTTTTGCAGTGGTCACTGCGGAGGTCATGGCTATCTTTGGTTTACAGGCACAGACACTTGTTCAGGGTCAATCAGTAAGGGGTGGGCCAGTCTCTGAACTCAAGTTCATCTGGTTGCAAAGCTTGTCCTTCTACTGTACCAGGCAATTTGAATGAATATCTATTACTATTGATACAGACTGTGGGCAACCTGTTACATGAAAGAAATGTCCTTTTGGGTGCATTTAAAAAAAAAATCCAACAGTAAAGGAGCCAATAACCATTACATAGGGCTACAAACATGAATCAAGGTGTTCACTAAATATCTACTGGAAAGAACAAACTCAGCACTTGGGAGGTAGAGGCAGGAGGATCGGGAGTTCAGGATCATCCCCAACTACATAGTGAGCTCAAGGTCAACCTAGCCTAAGATCCTGTCTCAAACACAAAACTAAACAACTAAAAAACCAACCAACCAACAAAACAACCAACTCACTCTGCCTATGCCTGCTGGTTTCAGAGACAACTTCATACAGAGAGTAACCTTTGGCCCAGGTATTGGAGAATGTAGAAAAACACAGAACAGATTTTGGAGTTAAAGAACAACAAGGCTAAACAACAGGAATTGGAGTCATGAGATCAGTGAGAGTGCCCGGAAGTTCTTCCTTCCTCCCTGGAGGCTGGGCCCTAGTCAGTTCTGCTTTTTCTGCTTTTTTTTAGAAAAGCAAAACTTTTAAGTTTTAAAAGAATATCTTTTATTTATTCTTTGACAGTTTCATACATATATACATAAGCACCTCATCCCCATTTGTGACAGGATCCCACGGTCTCACTGTGTTGCACTGACCGGCAGAGACCTTTCTATGAAGCATAGGCTAGCTTTGAGCTTCCTCCTACCTCAGCCTTTTGAGTGCTGGAATTACAGACATGAAAAAGCTGTCCAGCTCCTGATGGGGGAGTTGGGACTTGTAAAATAGTCTAGGTTAGGGGCCAGTAAGATGGCTCAATGGTAAAAGCAGCTAGCCACCAAGACCTGAGTCCCATCTCTGAGTTTCACGTGGTAGAAGGAAAGAACCAGCTTAAGTCCTCTAACTTCCACACACATGCATTGTGCACGCACACAAGAATTCCTAAGTAAGACAACTTGTAAGTGGGCAGCTGGGTGTGGGAAGAAACTTGTCTGGATTAGCACACTGCCAGTCCACGGACCGTAGAGAGTTTTCATAGTCAGGTGGAGTGGCCATAGCACACCAACCCTCAAAAGGCAAGGTTTCAAGACAACAAAAAGTTTTAAAATATCATACATGAGCAACACACGATCTCCCTGGCACTGTCGGATACACAGCACATTGAGGGCACCTTAGAGGTGGCAGCCTGGACCCAGAAATGGGCGGCGAAGTGAGCTTCATGCCGCTGATTCTGTGGCACAAACATGGCTTCCTTTCTTCCGCTGAAGGATTCAGGAGAGCACTAACTGGGCCTCTCAGCATTGAGGAGCACACGACACTTCTTGTGAGCAGTGAGAAAGGGGAGAGACATGCAACAAACTCGGTCTCAGGGTTGCGGCTGAGTGACGTGCTTGCTAACATGCACGGTACCCTAGTGCTGGGAGAACTGACAGGTGGCTCTCGGAAGTCTCACCATCTTAATCCGGTTACTAATGTAAAAGAGTCAACAACAAATGAGGTTGTCCAAAAATACCTAAAGCTAGACACTGTAATGGCACAGTATGTTTTTGTTCAGGTCTGTCTCTAACATTTAAAAATGGCTACAACAACAAAATGATATATGCATTACAAAATGTGTATCTCACAGGAAGCTTTTTTAAAATTTAAAATTTTATATATATGTGTGTGTGTGTGTGTGTGTGTGTGTGTGTGTGTGTGTGTTTTACCTGCCTACCACTTGTGTGCCTGGTGCAGGTAGAGGCCAGAAGAGTTCAAATCCCCCGAAACCAGAGTTCCAGATTGTTGGAAGCTGCCGTGTGGGTGCTGGGAATTGAACTAGAGACCTCTGGAAAAGCAGCCAGTGCTCATAGCTGCTGAACCATCTCTGCAGCTCCAGACCACTTGTTGATTTGTTTATTTGTTTGTTTAGTATACAATGTTCTGCCTGCATGTGTCCTTGCAGGCCAGCAGATGGCACCAGATCTCATTACAGGTGGTTGTGAGCCACATGTGGTTGCTGGGAATTGAACTCAGGACTGCTGGAGACACAGTCAGTCCTCTTAACCGTTGAGCTATCTCTTCAGTCTCCCATACCATGCTTTTTAAAGACATTTTGTATTGTGATTGCATTCCTTAAATACCCTCCAAAAATACCCAGCTGAAATTTCTAGGAAGCGGCAGAAGCAAGTAGGCGAGAAAGTCAGTCACGAGGGGCAGAGGACAGAGGAAGGGAGAAGGCAGCCTTGCAAAGATCAGTCCTCTGTTCCAAGGTCAGCTGTTGGCAGGAGTCAGGGAGGAGTGGCAGGCTGGCCGAGGAGCTCTGCATCCCCTTCAAGCCTAGTAGAGCCTGGTGCCACACACACAGATGTTCCTCCTCTGTGCAGCTCAGCCTGCCTTCCAAGTCATCTTGTCTTTTCAGTCTATCTAACAGCCTCTCAGCAAACTCAACACACAGCTGCCTCTCTTTTGATCAGCAAGTGTCTTGATCTCTTCCTCATCTTTGCCCTCAAGCCCTTCTAGTTCAGGCCAGTCAGGGTGATCTCAGCTTACTCTTACTTGTCTCTAGACAGAGGACTCACCTGCTCAGCTGGTTCCTCTGTGGGTTCCAAGCGTCCTTCAATCACAGTTTCGGAGCTGCCTCTTCACACTTCCTATCTGCTTTTTTATTTACTTATTTTTAGACAGGATCTCACTACACAGCCCTGGCTTGCCTGGAATTCAAAACATGAGACCAAGCTCGCCTGGAACTCACAGAGATCCGCCTGCCTCTGCTTCTGTTGTTTAGTTTCTTTGAGTCAGATTTCCATCTTTTAGGACCCAGTTTTCCATAACCTTTGCACTTCTCTCCTGCCATCAGCACATTTTTCTGCTTCCTCGGGCATGATCCTCAGGTCCAAGAGGCCACCACAGATTCAGCCTGCCCCAGGGCCTTTCTCTGTCCACTTCCCTCTTGGGGGCACTGGGCCCTCCTGCTGTGGAGCTTGGATCTTGCACTCCGAGACGGTGATCTGAGCCCCCCCCCTCCCTCCAGCAGGGTTTCCCCACCCTTGTTCTTGCCTGAACTGTGGTCACAACTGCTTTCCATAGGGCTTTTCTTCTAGATTCCACATTCTCTGGATGCTTTAATATATATTAAATTTATATTTTTATACTTTTCAAAATAATTATTTTCAAAAACATAGATTTTTAGCATAAAAATGTTGGAGTTATGTATATGTTAAGAAAAAAAAGCCCAAACTTCTCATTTTCCCCAATGCAGAGACAGTTATCCAGTATTTATTGTGTTGTCTCTAGTTTTTGTGCTCGTTTGCTGACTGATTGGTTTGATTTTGTAGATGACACTTTATCTTTGGTCTCTGACAATGACACTAAAATTTTTCCCCCTTTTCCACACAGAGAACTAAATTTTGTATAATATGTTTTTGTTTGCATATTTTCTTAAAAATATGATTTTTGTTTTATATGAACATATTTTTATTTATGTGACATTATTTAAATTTTATTTTTTAAAAAATATTTTTATGGTTTATTTAACTTTATTTTATGTGCATTGGTGTGAAGGTGTCAGATCCCCTGCAACTGGATCTTCAGACAGTTGTGAGCTGCCATGTGGGTGCTGGAAATTGAACCTGGGTCCTCTGGAAGAACAGTCAGTGCTCTTAACCACTGAGCCATCTCTCCAGCCCTCATTTCGTTATTTTCAATCTTTTCTCTGAGCACTGTTTTACGAGGTTTTAATTTTGTTTAATTTATTATCATTTTACATGTGTGTACATGATGTGCTTGGGGGGCATGTCACAGTATGTTTAGGATTCCCAGCACCCACATCGGCGCAGCTCACAACTACCTGCCATTCCGGTTCCAGGGGATCCGAAGCCCTCTTCTGGCTTCTAATGGCACTCATAGTGACAAACAACCATGTAGGAAAGATACTATTTTTTAAATTTCAATTTCCATATGTATTGAGTGGGGGATTACAATGGTACCTGCTGCACCCAGATGTTGTGGGGTTGAACTTAGGGAGCACATATGAAACCGAGTAACCGGCACACAATTGGTACTCCATAGATGGTCAGCTACTTAGGAAGCCATATGCTGAGAGCCCAGAAGCATCTTATACTGCTGCTTCCAGGAGGCTCACATCACCCCTGAGCATCTCTAAAGCAGCTCACTGTACATTCAACTGCTTATTCTTACTATTCCTTTGGGATGATTCAAAATGACCGCACAGAAAGAGAAGGAGGCCGCAAGATGCGCAAGAGCAGAGAGACCTGATGTCTTTGGGGTGTGTGACCTTGAGCCTGGTCTCGATACTGGGATTACAGGGAAGTGGCATTATTTATTTAATCTTAGCTAATGTTCTCCTTTGTTCAAGGGAAACAATGTTCTTTACATCCTGAGGTTTGGAGGAATAGATGCAGATGCTAATGCCCATCTAGCACTTTAGAAACACTGTGTAACTATGCGGGGTTACAATTTGTGTTTACTATTCTTCCCGAGTGAGTTCTGCTCCAGAGTTCAGCCTTTGGGGAACATGGACCTTTGATGAGGCCTGGTTAAAAAGTTGCTGCTCCTGCAGCTAATGCTCAAATATCCGTCCCTGCCCCTGCAAATTCCCCACTCTTGTGAAAAGCAGCGCTCTGCAGAAGATCTCCACCCAC